CCCAAATGTTGAGCGAATGAAGTATTCCATAATCGCCCAGAGCGGAAGATCAATTGTCGCCCAAAAATGCCGAGTCGCCCGAGTCCCTGCAATGACTAAAGCTTGTTGTTATCAAAAGTCACGATTTAAGGCAGTTTGAGCACATCACAATTACGCCACACGATTTGAGAGAGTTGATGACAAGCAGTTATGAAGAGGACGTGGTGATAGGAGTTCCACACGGTAGTTATTGGCCAGCCGACCATGATGAAAGAAATGGGTAGTTACAAACAGTTTCTAAACGATGAAAACTGCCCGGACAAAATTCACTCTCAAACAGAGAATATGTAATTTACATTTCCTTAGATTAATTTTAATTACTTTAATTCCCTTATACTTGTGTGCTTGCGCCCCTTGGAGGCATCTTGTTCGTGTCCAAATTGTAATCTTCATATTCAATAAACACCCCTTTTTGGGACTTTGTTCCAAGAGGTTTGTCCTTTACACAATCGTCTGATCCTTTTTAATTGTTAGCGAGTAAATCCGCGCGAAACACTTATTTTTTAATCACATATTCTCCAAATAATCACTATTTTAAACAATATTTTCCTAAAAAAAGCTACCAAACATGGACTAATTTTTTAATCATACACTTAGAAAAATCAATATTTCAAACCTCATTTTCTCTCAAATTTTTACTAAAAAACATATACCGAACGAAGGCTAAATAGATGTAAAGGGCATTATAGGGATTTTAATAGATGTAAATCAAAAAAATTTATCAAAAAAATCGTACACGAAACTTTTCAACCGTTCGCAAGCATCTCAATTCCTACTTCCAATAAATCGATCAATAGCAAAATCGTGTAAAGGGCATCATAGGGATTTAGTTTCCCGAAATTTACTTCTACGAATTGGTTGTCGTAATATTGAAGTCGCGAAACGTGGGTGAGAACAAATAAGCGGAGCGGACAGTTGCCCGGACCGAGCGGCACGAGTGTAGAGGAGAGAGAGAGAGAGCGAGTGGGCGAGCGAGTTAGGGTTTTGAAAATCCTCAATCGGTTCGAAAGGTCAGTGAATACGTGAGCGCCCAGAGCTGTTCTCTAATAATTTTCTCGTATCTTTTGCGAATTTTATTTTCTTAGGCATTTTATTTGATTCATTCTCGAGAACTCAGAGATTAGATGATGAGTTTGATTTGGTATATGATGATGATGATTGTATGTTGTGAGAAAGAGGTGTGTCTATTGTTGTTGTGTGCAGGAAGAGTGCGTGAGCGATTAGAAAGTTGGTGTGAGAGAGAGGGAAACTCGAGAGAGCTGCCTTTCTTGATTCCAGAAATTTTCGGATTGTCCTCACCATGACTGACCGAAAGCTTGTCGTAAGTAAAAAATTTCACGCATCTGACTGTCGAAATGTAGATTTTGTGGTTGTGCTTAATTCGGTATATGCGGTTGTTTATGTATGTATAATGTGCATCTTTGTTACTTTAGGTTTTGGGCATTCCATGGGATGTGGACACAGAAGGACTCAGAGAATACATGAGCAAGTTTGGGGATTTAGAGGACTGCATTGTAATGAAGGTTAGTAAGAAATCTGCTTTTATTGTATCATACTTGAATCTGTTAATAGATAATGTGTTTATACTTTAGAGTATGGCAAATGTTTACTAAAGTCTTCACAAATTCAGGTTTCTGATTACAGAATCAGAAGCTATGGAAAAATTACTGTTTTCCACTAAATAGTTTTTGGACTATTTAAGATTGAGAAAATGGATAGCTTCGTTTGATTGGACAATAGTAGCATCCATCAAAAAGTTATTGCCTTTCTGGTGGGAAAATGGTTACTCTCCCATTAGAAACTTACTAATATGAAAATAATGAGCACTGTTTGGAGGAGACTTGTTATCTTTTTTGCATTGGTGATGTCAGGAGCGGACCACTGGTCGTTCTCGTGGTTTTGGATATGTTACATTTGCAGCAGTTGAGGATGCGAAGGTACTCATCTAGGACTGGCTTGTGCTTTGACTTTTCCATGTTAGCTCTGTTTTCTGTTTCATTTTTCTCTGTATATTCAGAGGGCAATTTCAAATTTCTGGGTTAAGTTGCCTTTTATTTTGTAGGCTGCATTGACAAGCGAGCATGTCCTCGGTAATAGAATGTTGGAGGTCAAAATAGCCACACCAAAGGTTACCTTCTTTGACCATCCAGTTATTCTAATTTATACAGTTTGCTAATTTAAAGGTGTAATTTTTGCCCATTTAGTTTGTTTGTACTTCCAGCATTTGCTTTACAAGATTTAGGAGCTATGCCATTTTAACTCTTGGTGTTTCTTTGAAACCTTCTACTATAGGAGGAGATGAGAGCTCCACCGAGTAAAGTGACCAGGATTTTTGTGGCAAGGATTTCACCATCTGTGACTGAAGCTATGTTCAGAAGGTATCTTTTCTGTATTCCTCCATTTTGACTTAAGCCGTCTTTGATCCCGATTTTTGGGTGAAAATAGGTTTTGGATGGTTGAAAAATATGGAAAAGTTTTGGGTTTACGTTAAAATTATTTTTATGGAAAAATGGAGCTCAAACATAGGCTTAATTTTGAATCTGAAATATTGCTTAATGTGATGGTCTGTTACATCTTTGTACATTTGCGCTCTTATTGAAGTCTAAAATTTTGTGTGCATTCTCGTATAGTCATTTCGAGAGGTATGGTGACATAACAGATTTATACATGCCAAAGGTTCGTATTTCTCTCACTTCCTATCTAACATATTGTTGCATTTTTATTGCACTTTCTCACGTCATTTTTTATCATCAGGATCCAACTGCCAAGGGCCATCGTGGGATTGGATTTATCACTTTTGCAAATGCTGGTAATTCGGTTTCAATGTTTTTTCGTGGTGTGTGGTTTCTATTGGTTGTAGCAGCTGTTCTGTCCTCTAGACTTGTTACATGTGCCTTTTTAGATCTTCATGCCATTTTGTTCAAATTCTATACTCTAAATGAAAGACTGGAGAATAATGAGAACAAACGTTTGATTTTAAAATCTATAGTGTGTTTTTAGGTCGTCATAGTAACATATTTATAAGGGTCGGGAAGGATGGCCTTTCAAGGAGAATATTTTTCTGACTGATATCTGTTGCCTACTCCAGTCTGGTATTTTTTTTTTCTGAAGCAATCAAATTATGGGATCAAGGAGATAGAAATATATATGCCGTCCTTGAGTTGCATTTGAATGTGAAATTCTTCGTCTGCACGAGGTGCAGTTTTGACTACCATTGTTTGCTGTGAATTTAAATCCTTTCTTCATTCTAATCTTTTCACAGAGGCAGTTGATGATCTGATGGCTGAAACCCATGAGTTGGGAGGTTCTACTGTAGTCGTGGATCGGGCAACCCCAAAGGTAACTTTCAGTATCACATGGCATTTTCTTATTGCGATGTGAATCACTTTTCAATTCATGCATTATGCATGCATAATTTTCCTGCAGAAGCTTGTAATAGTTTTAGCTACTAGTTAGATGTGCTACCTACTTCACCACCACCGCCAAGGCTTTCCCTCTCTCCTCTACTTCCACCTTCTTGTTCTTCTTGCATTTTTGTGCACCCAGAGAGGGAGGGAAGGTTCCAGTTCAGCATTTTGGAATTTTTTCAGTTATGACAGAAAAATTACGGTTGGACTTTTTATTACTCTAATACTAACCTTGTTCATATGCCACCTATACTCTTAAATAGGAGGATGACTTCCGACCAGTAAGTCGAATGCCTCAGGGTGGTGGCTATGGTGCATATAATGCTTACATGCATTCTGCAACGAGATATGCCACACTTGGTGCTCCAACCTTGTATGATCATTCAGGTCCTATGTATGGAAGTAAGTTAATTACTTTACATATTTTCCTTATATCACTTTAATTAGAAACTTAATGCACCCGAGTTAATAATTATCACAAATTAGGAGGGGAAACAGCTCGTGGAATGGGCAAAAAGATTTTTGTTGGCAGGCTTCCTCAGGAGGCAAGCATAGAAGATCTCCGTCAGTACTTTGGGAGATTTGGTCGTATTTTAGATGTTTATGTTCCAAAGGTCAGAATGACATTGACTTGATGTAGTTAACAATTAGATAGATTAATGTTTATAATACAGTCTTGTTATTTTGTGCAGGACCCCAAGAGAACGGGTCACAGGGGATTTGGTTTTGTGACTTTTGCCGAAGATGGTGTTGCTGATCGTGTAGCTCGGAGATCTCATGAAATATGTGGACACCAGGTTTGAGTCCTTATCTGCACTAGCAAACCATTGTGTGTTGCAGATAAGAATTTGATAAGAAGTCCTTAAAGATTTTGCTGAATATATAGAAATGTAAATACCCTTCTAAAGTAGTTTTACTTGTAAGTACAGAGAACTTTCAGAAGTGACTGGACTTCAAACAAAAGATTCTTACATGAAGTGAACGTACTCTCGTTTATCTTGAGGCAATTAACTATTAGAAAATCCAAGTTACATGCTAAATTAGCGATTTTTGCATAAAAATCCATACCAATCTCCTTTCTCCTGGCTTATAAGTTTTAGATTACCTGTCTGAATTCTCATCATGATTCATGTTACTTATACCTCTATGTTCTAGTTTTAAAAATGCTCACCGAAAGCTGTAAAATGAATGACACTGTGAGTAGTAAATAGTAATATTACAGTTCTCCTTTTGATGTCTTACAGGTTGCAATAGATTCAGCTACACCAATTGATGATGCTGGCCACAGTAGTAATTTCATGATGAACAATCCTGAACCATTCGGGTATGGTGGACCTCTGCGTTCCTATGGCAGGATGTATGGGAGCTTAGATTTTGATGATGTAAGTATGGATTTATAATTTGTTCAGTGTTACTGTCTAGTAAGCTGCTTCGCGTATCATCAAGAACGTACAAACTTGACTACCACTTCCATTTCTCCCTGCTGTCTCATGGAGCTACCCTTCTCTTTTTGTTAATTTGCCCTTTTGAAAATGGTAGCTTTTAATTACTTCAATCAAAACCAACATTAAGTTTTTCAGATTGATCAAGTTCTTTTCGATTAAAGCATGCCGTGATTAAAGTGTACTTTTGAGGATGGAATTATGATGCAGAAAATTATTATTTTCAATCAAGTACATGGGGAGATGTGGAGTGTTACTATTGTTACAAGAATATCCAATGGCTTGTTGTAGGAAATACCATAGGTCTAGAAGTTCTACTTTGCATTATTGGTTGTGAAAATTGGAATCTCATTTCGGATGTCAATAATGACAGGTTCCCAAGTCTAAATGTGGTGTGTGGAGACAGTTAATTTCTCTTCTCCGTTTTTGAGATCTTGTATCAAACTCGTGGAATTGTTGCTGTTGTTATTCAATACGTTCTGGGTAACCTTGAAGATAGCTAGGATTATATTGATTAAAGTTGTTATAGGAAATAGTGTAGGTACTATAAAGAGTGGTTAGAAATAAACACACAAAATAGTTTGAGGATTTATACGATCACAAATATGGGATTATGAGTTGCATCAAGAAGAAACTACAGGATATGGAGGAATTAGTACTAACTAAAACTATAGGAAGGAGCTCTAATGCTCGGACTCTTCCAAATAGTTGCAGTACCCGTGTCGGATACGACACGACACGGGTATGGGATATGTGTTGGATCCTCCAAGTTTCAACCGGACACTTCGTCGTTTTTGCTTATTCTTCCATCCTTAGTTTCTTCTTTTTTTTATTCTTTTCCTATTCTTTCCCTTTTCTTCTTTCCCACTTGTGATCTCTAGAAACGTAGTGTCGTCGCCGAGAGGGTGAACAAAGACAGCGACCTAGGTTTTCCGTTCGTTTTCTTCTTTCTTTTTTCTTTCCATTTTCTTCGTTTTTCCTTCTCTTTCTCTCTCTATATTAGTGGTTTCGGGTTTTGTTCGTATAAAATGAAAATGGTTTCCATATAGTGCTACTATATTTTTTTCCTTTCAAAAAAATATAGTGCTACTTAGTGCTCGACTAAGTCCAAATTTCAATCAAGTTCTTCATTTTCTATTTTATATAACATTTAGTAATTCTCATTATTGAAAACTAAACCCCAAAATTCTATTATATTCGTCTTAACCCCCTATTAAGTACACTTTTCTTTCATTGTGAATAATTAATTTTGGTCTATTCAAAATGACATTCTGGATAAGTAACAAAATTGAAGTTTGAAAAACGTGCTCACGTACCTGTGTCCGAAGTTTGGATTTTTTTAGCCATGTCCTCATATCCTACATTTTAGAAAATAAAAGATCCGACACTTAGATATGTACCCGTACCCAAGTCTGAGCATCATAGTGAAGGAGAAATTTTTATTGGTTAGAAATATTAATGGGCATTTAGGTAAGGGTCGTGCAGCCTTTAACATGCTACGTAGGGAATCTGGTTTTTAAGGATAAAGAAGATATATGAAGGGTCAATGTAGATTTTTCTTGGTTTAAGTTCTATTTTACCAAAAACCTTTTTCAGGAGAGGGATGTGCACTTTATTACTTTTAAAAATGGGCTAAATAGGAGTGATATTTTTCCTTACTGGCCAGATAGATCGATTTAAGTTAACCCTAGAGAGTTTGGCCACATCATGTAGAGTATAGGCCTGGGCTATGATCAAGGTTAATAAAAAGGAGCATTAAAGTTTGTGGTGGGACCTGAAGGAAAATGAGTTTTACAGTGATAACTACAATCCGTGCAAGATATATAAGAGAATATGTGGATTTAGATGATAGAAAGAAATGAACATATGCTTTAGTTAGCTAAGTTTGAAGACCAATTACATGAGAGCCATTTGAAACAATTTGGTACATTCAAGAATGGCTGCTAATGCAAGATCTATGAAGAGTGATCGAACCAGTGATGATAGCAATCGTAGAATGACTGACTTAAAATCACATCATAGGAGGTAATTAAAAACAAAATTGTCTTTTTTAAAAAAATAATAATGTTATGTTCTGATGGCATGTGTTCTCTTTCCGATATCTATAAGTAGAAGGAGAAAGTTATTGCCATTTCACTTTGTTATGTGGACTGCGCTTTTTAGTATTTGAAAGAGGATTGTCAATAACGATTTTCTGGTTGAAACATAAATACTTGTGATCTATTCTCAGCTTTTGTTTAGGACAGTCTTCCATCGTAATATATGAAATGTTGAACACCTGATGTGGAGTTAATTGTGTTAATTATCCTGTTGTTTTAGATGATTTGGGCCGTTTGATGCCTACATCATCATGTTTTTTGGACTATAATGCTAACCCTTTTTTACCTATTGATGTGCAGTGGGGTTATGGCATGGGTGGTGGTATGCGCGGCGGCATGGGTGGTGGTGGTATGCGCGGTGGCATGGGTGGTGGTATGCGTGGCGACATGGGTGGTGGCAGGCCTTCTCGTTCAGATTACAGGTATAGGCCTTACTAGAGGTCAGAAGGGACCGCTGAAACTGTATTTGAATTTAATTTTAATGACACAATGCCTCGCTGCATGGACGGCTGAAACTGTATCTGAATTTAATTTTAATGACACAATGCCTCGCTGCATCTACTAATGGTAATCGACTGTTGAAATGATCACTACCTATGAGACAGTGGTTCCAAATTTACCATATTTATTGTTTTGGATTATCTCTGCTTGAGAAGAAGACTATCTGTACCTCTTTTACGTAATACTCAACTTTGTGCTGAAGCTCTTATTTGTAGACAATTCCTTTCTTTTATACTTAAGAAAAGTGTGCTTTCCATTTATAATGCATTGATTTTGTGTGTGTGTGTGTGTGAAGTTAAACATTCATTTTTGTAAATTTCTGGACATATCGAAATAAATTCTTTTATTTGCTTTGTATCCGAAAAGTCTATTGTTCAATTGATTCACTGTAAATTGAAAGTCCATTTTTGTGAAACTTGTTACTTTTATAAGAACTAATATGCGTATTATACTCAGATTATGTAATGGTATTGCCACACTTTTTATTTAGATATTTAGCACCTAGCGTTGAATCGAATTTGCTTTATAGTATGCCACCATATTTGCTTCATGGTAGCGGCTGTTGAACCACGGATCATTTGCTTGGAATCATGGCTGCACTTAATAAAATGAAGAGAGAGACCTTTAAAGAAAAGAAAAAGATGAAGTTTAGTTGTGGTGTATTTAATAAAAAGTTCTCCTCTTTTATTAGTTTTATTACTTGGGTATATAATTGTAATTTATTGTGGTGTATTTATTAAAGCTGTGTTTTAATTGTGGTGTGAATTTTGTAGTGTTAATATAATTACTATTTTCTTAATTAAAAGATGTGAAACGACGAATATATTATTTTATTTAAATAAAATAAAAACAATTAATTAATTAATTGCAAGCATAGTCTTGAATTTTTCAAAAAAATTACAAAGAGTCACAAATACATGATTAAAAAATCGAAATAAAAAAAATAAAAAATTAGTTCATCTTCCTCCTTTTTCCGCCATTAATCGATCAATACAGTATCACCAAAAACACCAAATCCCACTTTCATAATCCCATTTCTTAATTTTCTTTATCCACCACATTGTACTAGACTACTTGGGAATGCCTCCGAGAACCTAGGGTTTGTCAACATTACTGATCTGAATGGTGGCAAAGTCAACTTCGGTTCAGCGGTTCCAGGCTCCAAACTTGACTCCACCTACTCCAAATTAGTCCAACTTCCTGTTTTATCCTAATTCCAAGACGTTTCTTTTATCCTAATTGCACAGCTTCGTGTCACGGGTGGAATGGTTCCTCTCTGAAAACCATTCAGAATCTACCCATGTTCCGAGATGTCCCAGTTTCGTGCTGTAGAGTTTATTCCTGCGGAACTCCGAATGTATTGCTTCCAATTTGATTTCTCGGATACCCTTAAGACGGTGAGAGAAAAGGCCCTTGTGGAGCTTGTAGATTTTATTCAATCTGGGTTAGGTAAAATTTCTGAAACCAATCAAGAGGAAATGATACAGATGATATCCTTGAACATTTTTAGTTGCTTGCCCTCGCTTCCCATGGAAATACGGTCGGAAAATTTAAACCCCGAAGGGGAAGTCTTACCTCGATCCCTCTTGGCCCCATTTACAGTTAGTCCACGAATTGCTATTGCGATATTTTGGTTTAATTACTTATTTGTGACTTATTTGTGATTTTTTGAAAATTTTGTGATTACGATTGTATTCAGTTCTTTATTTTATTTTCATTTTATTTATATATGAGGGTACTTCAGTTGAGAAAATTGAAAAAATTGGATAGAAATAATGATTTTCGCAATGAAATGTGTAAACAGAAGTGAAAATACAAAAAAATGCAAGACATGGACATTTTGCACGATAAACTTCAAATATATGGACGTTTTGTGTTAATAACCTATAAATACATGTTTAATATTTTTTTTGCATAATCTATCCTCAACAGTAAAATTCGTCATTCCGTTCAATATTGGTCATTAAATGATGGATTTGTAGTTTCTTTACACAGATAAAAGAAAAGAAAGCAGTATAATATAAAAAAGAGAAATGCTATTGGTACATAGTATTTCCCATAAGGGTTCACATAAGGGGCACATGACGCCCTCCAATGGAGAGGCGTCATGTGCCCCTTTTGTGAAGGGTTATGTTGTGGGTTATGTACCCATAGCATAACCATATAAAAAATACGAAAAATTTCATTACTATTCAAAAGTATAAATAAACTTCATTTAAAACAATTAAATACCAATTAACATATATAAAAATACTCCATTCATCCAAATTATATAGAGTAATGTCATTCATCCCCAGGGAATGAAAACACAATTTAGGTGGAGTTTATGTGGCATTAAATGATAGTTTAAATGAAAGGTATGGGTTATGTACCCATAGCATAACCATATAAAAAATACGAAAAATTTCATTACTATTCAAAAGTATAAATAAACTTCATTTAAAACAATTAAATACCAATTAACATATATAAAAATACTCCATCCATCCAAATTATATAGAGTAATGCCATTCATCCCCATTGGGAATGAAAACACAATCTAGGTGGAGTTAATGTGGCATTAAATGATGGGTGAAATTAAATAAGTCATTTCATTTCACCTATCATTTATAGCCACCTAAACTGTGTTTTCATCCCCACTGGGGATGAATAACATTATTCAATTATATAAACTTGTTTCGTTTTTCACAAGAATTAAAAAAGTTTCTTTAATGTCACTGAAAAATTAATTTTTGTCAAGATCTTTTCTAATTTACCCCTATTTGTTTTTCAGTATGTGAAACTAAATTATTGTTGAAACTAATAAAGAATTTGAAGAAGAAGAAATGAGAGTTGTTCCATGTTTCCAAGAAGTAAGAAATGTATGTATTTGGACGATTTCAAGAAGTTGGCATATTAAGAGGCGGGGGGGAATTTAATAAGGGTATATTAGTAAATGAATATAACAAAATATTCTATATTAGGAAACATATCTATATATTTGAAATAAGAGAAAAAAGAAACACTGCCTATATAATTGGAACGGGGTAGTAATAATTTAGAATATGTTCATGTATCCTAACCAAGTTAACCACCACCCCACTGCACCCATCCTAATACACCCCACTTGCGGTCAAACAAAATTTTCAGGCAAGTGATTTTTATTTTTTATTAATCAAATGTTTTGAATTATAGTAAAAGAAATGTATATGTATCACTATAGAAGAAATATAGAAAAAAATATATTTTTTTTTCTTTGTATTGTCCATCAAAGTTGCAAAGCGTTGATATTTACATAACTAGCTAGCATCGATCATTTCGTATTATTTTATTTTTTCTTCTTGGAAGGACAGATAAAGCAGAAAGTCTTCTCTTAACACCTGTTTTGTAGCACTGGTAGTCTGGTACCCAGGCATTTATAGATTCAAATAAAGTCAACTTTTATCATACAACACCCGGACTGCTTCAAAACTTAATTGCTGAGAGAACCCATCCTGATGAATTCTTATAGTCTAGCCACTTTTTCAGAGAACCCATCCTGATGAATTCTTATAGTCTAGCCACTTTTTCAATATGACTCGAGTTGCTAACTATATTTTGGACTGAATTTCCTTAATGACGCGATGCATCACTGAATAATGAACTAGAGAAGATAATGTAGGGACTAGTTTCTATGGCAGCAAAAGCAATTGCTGAGAGAACCCATCCTGACATATGTACAGAAGAGAAACCGTCTGTTAGAAGCTCTTGGAGCTTGCCGAGCATGGTTTTTGGACAACGAGTTTCTCATGAATTGCGCTTTCATCTGAGCAGTTTTAAGCTTGTTCAAGATTTTGTCCATGGATGCCGATCTCTTCTTTTCAAGTTTCACCTGGATATTATGTTATCAGAGGACATGGTCACAACATCAGCTGATAAGTAAATTATACGAGATATCGTAACTCTGCATTTGTTCATCTTTATTTTCTGCATTCAATGTGCACTCTAAAACTACGACATTCGACTTTAATAATTTATAGAGGTGACTTTGGACGAACCTCGAGTTTTCGCATTGCTGCCTCAGCTTTTGCCTTCTGCAAGTTCTCCCAAGCAGTGATCTTGGCTTCCTCTCTTTGCAGCCTGCGCAAACACGAAAAAACATGTGCATCGCGTCCTTTGATTGGATGACAACCAATTTCCCTCTTTCACCGTCTTGTAATGTTAATTGCAAGTTTTAACGGACAATAAGAAGTACAATCCGATCGAGATAGTAAATAAATTACAACGGCAAAAAGTCTTCGAGTGATTAGTCATTTTCGGTTATCAGCATATGAGAAGTACTCTTTGCTTTGCAGGATCATGTCAAGGTAGTTTATTACCTAAACAAAATGTGGTTTCCAAACAATTTTACTCTTATATACAGGTGAATTTTTTTACCAGGCATTGAGAGTTTTTTCTGCTAATTCAACAATTAACGGTCCTCAAGCCTTGTGATGGGTTTGGTTAGGATGATTGGATAGTAGCGGACTGTTTTAGAGAAGAAAAATAAGCCAAAATCTTGTTCATTATTTTGTCCGGTCCAGTACTGGATACTAAATAAGCCCTCAAGGTTTTGAGGGGAAAAAATGCAAACCTTGACATGCTATTTGATGCCTCTGCAACATCCAACTGTGAAGGTAAATCTGCAGCGTTTGGCAAATCTCTCATCTTTCTCGATCCATGTTTCTTGGACTGCCTGGCTACAGTGACACCTTTATCTACCTGGACGTCCCTGACTTCATCTTTGGCCAAATGATTGCCATGTGGCTCCACTGAACTCGGGATTGAAATAGGGAGACCGGAGAATGATAACCTTCCATTGGAAGATGAATGAGTGCTGCAGTCCGGGCTCATCTGAGTTGCCATATCCCTACTTGAAATATCCCATGAAACTGTAACTTCATCCTTCTTGGTTCTATCAGGTTTATCATCTAACCATTCAATTCAACAATGATGAAAAGCAACAGATATTTAGTTAGCATAAATTGTTTGTATGTAGTAACGTATCGCAACTCTGACTCCACTTTTTCAAAAGACCAGTTTTCAATTCAACATCAGGATTTAGTTACATTCACATAGATAATTCCAAGATAACTGAAGTACTGTTGCAGCGACTGTAGAAAGAGTGTGTATATACAATACAATTGAATAAAAAACTAAAAAAAAACTGAAGTCCCAGTTGAATAAATCGTAAAGAAACATTTTCTCTATGGATGTTTGTAATTGGATTTTGCCAATGCTTGTGCATTCAATCACATACAGGGGCGGGAAAGAAAAAAAGGAAGCACTATATACCTTGAGAACTCGGCACTGGAGATTCACTTAGCATATCCGACATGCCAGGCACGCTAGTTGATCGAGCCATACTATCCTCCGGATAAAGAGAGTTTGATTTTGCAGAAATGCCAGCGCCATAATGAATGGATAATCCATCGGGCACCAAGACTCCGGTCGTAAGTGGTGAATTGGCCACGAAATTTCTCACACTCCCATCTTCGAGCATCGGCACAGTAGGTGAATAATTGGATATATACACAAGTCCCGGAGCCCCCAATGGTCCACTCTTCGACATTGGCCGCCTCTGAGGTTGCACAATCGATGACTTACCAGCACCATACCATGAAACTGGGCTCGTAATCCATCTCTCAGCGTCGTCCCATTTTGAAGGCAGGGTCCTTCCACCATTAAATGGCATAAATGCAGCAGCATTAATATGCCTCCGGCTACTATTCGTAGGGATCGGAACTCGCTCGGAACTCCAACCCTTTGGAATTCCTCCAACATTGTTATCGCCATACTCCGGCGTTCCCGGGCTGGTATATGCACCCGAATTCCTTAATGAAGCAGAATTCTTCTTCATGACTGTCAGTTTAAATCAACATAGGCCACATTGCTTCCTTACATGTTCCAATTTAAGTTGTCCTTAATTTCATTGTGGAAATAGAATCAATAGATGCATAGTTAGACCCAAATTCTTGACAAATCAGAAACTTTGTAAGTGTTGCCAACTGTATCAGTAACTAAATATTTATATTATAAGATTTTTAAACCCAAAATTTCATTTTCAGTACTGCAGCTATCATATCATCCCTTTCCTAAGAATCCAAAATTTTCCAGCTTCACACACACATAATACAAAAGCAGATGAAACCAGAAAGTAATAAAAAAAATAAAGAAAGTGAAAAGATATGGCAGAAACTTACCTTTGATTGGTCCGAAACTCATAAAAATTGAAGCTTGAAGACTTTCTTGTTTACACTTTGTGATTCTTCCTTTTTGTCTTTCTTATTGAAGACTTTCTTGTTTACACGTCAGGAACACAGATGTGTGTATGTACCATAAGCAGAACAAGATAAGGATTAACTTCTTCTTCTTCTTCTTCTTTTTATTTTAATTTTTTATTTTGTGGGTCAAAAGAGAATTGTTTATTCAACGGAAAGTTGTTCGGTTGTGAAAGCAATAGGAAAATAGAACTGTATGTTTTTGAGGAAATGTGTACAGGTATCTGCTTCTATTCCGAGGACTCATATTTGAGACAGTTCTTGCATTTGAAAATGGTGAATTAATGGTGGGAAGGAAAAGAGGGTCAGATTTTGTCCACACGAGACGAGGTAAGTTGGCAGAGGTTGTCAGAAACTAAGCTGCAGTCCCATGTGACAAAGACTTGGGGGTCCCTTATGGGATAATGTGTGGATTCTTTGAGAAATTCGGTGTTTATTGCATTTCTATTTTCCATGTTATGTTTTTAAAAGACAATTCATTCTTGATATATGGAGCTTGTTTGGAAGGGATTAAAATCAGATTAAAATTAAAAATATAGTCGTTAGAGTTGACTTTTATTAGACTTGCGGGACCTCTATATTTTCAATTTTAATTGAATTTTAATCATTCCCAAACAAACTCATGGAATCATTCGTTCTATGTATAAAGAGTTAAAAACTTCCTTCATGAACGGTCCAATTCAATTCTCGGAAAACTCACATTAAATAATCAAGTGCTCACCTTTAAATTATTTTGATATGACAAACCCACATTTCATGTCAATTAACACATCAAGCTTAATCACATGCAAATCTTAGAGCTTATTTGGGAGAGATTTTAATTCAATCCTATTTGAACCATCTTATTGTAGAATGAGAATGAAAAATATAGTTATTATTAGGGCTCACACAAGAGATGGAAAATTTGAATTTAAATGTTGATGTGATGAATAACGGTCATACTTTTCATTTTAATGAGATAAAAAAGTGCCCAAACTGGAGCTAAAATTGAAAATATAGTTGTTATTGGATCTCACTCGTTTAATAAAAGTCAACAATAATGACTAGTTATAATCACATGCAAATCATTTATTTATCTCTTATTTTATTCATTTATAATTTAAACTAAGACCATGTTTGAGCTACCTTATTGTAGAATGAGAATGAAAAATATAGTAGTTATTGGGGCCCACACAAGAGATAGAAAATTTGAATTTAAATGTTGATGTGATAGATAACGATCATATTTTTCATTTTAATGAGTTAAAAAGGTGACCCAAACGGGAGCTAATTATAATCTATTCCAAAAAAAGTGCTAAATTTATAAAGAAAACTCAAATCCCCCAAAATTTTCCTATGGGAAAAACTTTTTTGGGTTGTTAGTTACATTCGGATACACTGACGCATTGTTATTCTTTCATTTTTACTTAAAAAATCAAATTTTAGAAACACCAATCCCTAACTATTCGGGACAAGAATTGGTTTATTTATGAAATGATATAAATGCACCAAAAAGATGGATATATTGCATCATAACTATGGGTGTTAAGTGAGGCGAGTAAGTCACCAAATTGCCATACAAACAAGTCGAGCCGGGCACGAGTCAAACAACGAAAGTTTCGTGTGAGTCGCTCATCGATTCATGTGATTTGCTTCGTTGATTGAGAATAAGAATACCAAGTCAGTTGAAACAATTCGCCACTTGTTGCAACTATCATTATGAATTTCATCTTTGAATAAAAAATGCTCGTGCGTACTCATTGGCTCTTGGTATTGGTCTGCGAGCCACTGTTGCATTTTTGCAGCAAAAAATGCTAAGTGTACATAATAAATATACACAATTGATGACATAATGTGATGTGACAACCATCCTGTCGTTGATGTGAAAGTGTCAAATTTGAATTAAAGAATCACTATCTAATATTTACTTCTAAATTTGTTGTTGCATTATTATACCACATAAGTTACGTAATGACCGGTTCATCATATTCTTTTCCAAACGAAAATAATTTATTTAATTTCTTGCCAAACTTTCAAAAATCCAACAAAAAAAGCTAGTTGTGCTAGGACGTTCAGTAAGATGAAAGAATAATTAAAATTATTTTTCATAACTAAAAAGGTCTAAAATCAATCTCCTATAGGTAAACCATTGCACAAGAAAGCTGGATTTCGAATATAGAAATTGAGTAGGAAAAATCAAGAAAAAATTATACAGTGGGCTTTAAGAAATATTATCCACTTTTTGAGGCGAGTAAAACACATTGCGTCATATGAACCTAATCGTCAAGTTGCACAAATTATTGAACATTCTTTATAAGATTTTAATTTAATTAATAAAATATTTAGCGTATCGTGTACTTCATGTATGGTTAATAATAGTATTTTGCAACATCTGCTGCAATTAATTCTTTATTTTCGTTCTAGTAAAGCATCTAACTATAATTGTTATGTCAAGTCTTTACCGTTAATGATACAATATGTGGTCATACATTTGAAGGTTCATTAGGTGAATTGGAGAGTGCAAAATCAGAAATATGGAGATGCAAACGCCGCCTTCACTGTATTTTTTTTTTCATATTTCTTAAAACAGTATTGATGGAATTCTATTTCATTTTTTTTTCACATAAATTTTCAATGAAATAATAATAGTCTTTAGTATTAGAGTAATGCTACGTAGTCGAATCGAAGCATGTTAAAATATATAACTATATATATAAGTTTTTTAATAATATTCTTTGTTTTTTGAGAATTTAATACGTGGTATTTCCAAGTTCGTAAAATTGTTTCACTTTTAAGCATTGAATACCATGCACTTTATTTTATCTTCTAATCAATATTTTCTAAATTGAAATTCGTGAATTTAGAGATGACGTGGCATATTCACGCTTTATTATTTAAATCAGACAATAAATAACATATTGCCAAAACCCACAATAGTCCCACTATAGCAATTAATATTAAACACTTGATGAGGATAGCATCAATAGTTTAAGATTACTTTTTATTTATTAACTTATTTATTGGGATTGACTAATTGATCTAGTTTTAGGCATTTTTTATTCAGAATTTGCTAACCAAAGACAAGTCTCTTTTTGGCAATTGAAGTTAAGTATTAGTATTAAGAAAAATTGACACTTCTATATTTATTATTATAAAGGAGTTGGTATTTAGGACAGTTGTCTAAATTCTTATATGTTGATTTATACGCCGATAATTATATTGATCTTGTTTTCCAACTGAATAGCATGGCCAAGAGTTCTCGACTCTACTCCCGTCCGTATGTCAAGCTCCTACACACTTAGATAAATATTAAGTACACACGAACTACTCTGACAGTAGGAAAAGACGATCTCAAGCATTCTGACGATCAAGTCGATTAATTATATAAGTGATTTTGGTTTTACAATAGGTAATGAATGAAAGCAACGAAATATTACCAACAAAGTTTACTATTGAAAGTGTAAAATTTCATTACTATTAAATGACATCAACTATGAGCTTTTATGGTAAAAGAAAAGTTATTGTCGTTGGTGGATGACATGTGACCTCATCTTAACGATGGATGCGTCGACCGCATAGGCATCACCTCTATTGTCCTATGTTGAGGCGACATTAAATGATTTTGAAAAGTGATCACCCCATAGCTCAAGCGTACTATTTGAAAAGTAGATCTCATAGTTGACTGAGAGGTGTCTGCGGTAGATATGTCAATTCCCTCTTTACGGAAGATCTCTTTGATGAAGCGATAGTATGAAAGATGCTTTGTGAGACAAAGACTTGTCGATTCGAAAATAGGCTGAAACAATTCGTGGCACATCGCATTGAACACAATGATTCGACCTTTACATGTCGCTTCAACTGAAATGCTTAACTCACTTTAACTTCCTTTGTAAATACCCTCGATTAGGTCTGGGAAATAAAGTGATGTGAAGTGTAAGCCTTAAATGACTTCTTGTTATTTCCTAGTTGATTGTCACATGACCAATCTCATAAGATGAGACATAACAAATTAATTGATGTAGAACGTATCCCTTAGCAGGGTCTATGTGGCATGTTTAAAATTAGTTAAAATAAAAATTATAATATTTCTAAGTGGATTCCACTACAAAATGACATTCACTATAGAATCATTATTCTACACGGGTAAATTTTGATATCGACGAATCCTCCAAATGTCATAGTTATTAATGCTGTTGGATTAATGGCGATTGATTAATTTTTTTGGAACAAATCAGATTTGTCTTCTTAGTCAACCAATTAACGATTTTCAACATGAACCAACTTAGCCCATGTTTGAATCACGTTAAAATTTTCATTCTCGTTTTTCTACTCATTTTAAATTGCACATTCTTCAATAAAATAATATTTTTCATCACATCAATAAATTTTCCTTCTTTTCAACCACACATTCTCCATCAATCTGATATTCCAAAATATATTCTTACAAAATAACGTGGTTCAAACATAATCTTATATTATCTTACGAGTGCTGAGTAAGGCAGATAGGCCACGGGAGTGTGCCACATGGCAATGGAATCTGCGTCTTAGGATTGGCTCCCAATTTGCTTTGGCCCCACCACCACCATCGTCAAAGTCACACCCTCCCAGACCAACTCCATGAGAATAAAGGGATAGGAGCAGAGTGAAGTTTAGGGTGTGTCTGGCACACATTCTTTTGAAAGAATGTATTATTGAATAGTAGATTGATAGGGAATATGTGGTTAAAAATGAAGGAAAAGTTATAGATGTGATTGAAAATATTATTTTATTGAAGAATGTGTGGTTGAAAATGAGTAGAAAAACGAGAATGAAAAAAATAATTTGTACCAAACATGGGCTTATTTTTTGCTTCACATTTGTTGTCCATTCATTCTTGCTGCAATAATTCTTCCAAGATTGTATTTTTCATAATTAAAATGATTTCACCTGTGCTCTATAATCCAGTAAATATATCAACAGCTGTGTTTTCAAGAACTCATCTGGGCATATCCAAGGATTTTCCAGCACAACTTTATGATTCTTTGCACAACAAATTCTATTCAAGAAGCCGAGAAAATGGGCAAATCAAGAAACTGACAAAAGTGATGGCCACACTGGATCAAGTTCCAAAAGTGGAACCGGCTGAAACTGATACAATTTCAAGGTCACCGGAAAGGAAGCTGAGGATTCTGGTGGCGGGTGGTGGGATTGGGGGGCTGGTTTTTGCGTTGGCGGCGAAGAAGAAGGGCTTTGATGTGGTGGTGTTTGAGAAGGACTTGAGTGCAATCAGAGGGGAGGGACAGTATAGGGGTCCAATTCAGATACAGAGCAATGCATTGGCAACTTTAGAAGCGATTGATGTAGATGTGGCTGAAGAAGTTATGAGTGCCAGGACAGTATAGGGGTCCAATTCAGATACAGAGCAATGCATTGGCAACTTTGGAAGCTATTGATATGGGTGTGGCTGAAGAAGTTATGAGTGCCGGCTGCATCACCGGTGACCGGATTAATGGCTTGGTTGATGGTATATCTGGCAATTGGTAAGTTAGTATTTTGTTAAAGAAAGCTTTAGCTAATTGATGGCATTGCACTTCTAATATAGACCTATACCTAACTCTAAATAAGACTATTAGTATTAGACGGCACTTCTTGAAATAGGATTTTGCTACTTTTACATCAAAATTGTAAATTACATAATATGACACCGTGGAAAAAGATTGGATGAAAAAGTCAACATTGTTTGAAACTGACAAATGATACGGCGTCACTGGCATTACGTAACCCATGATGTACATGTAGCAAGATTCCTTCAAATATCCCTGAAGTAGGGGGCTCAATTTATTTTTTTCACGGTAAAATATTTGTTTACATTTATTCTCCGAACACAAGTCACAAATAAGCTAGATTGATTTAAGTAATGAGTTTGAGTGATTAGAATTGCTTGTATAAGTTCTTTCTCTCTCTATTGTATTATTTTTTATTACAAATAGGTTTGTGTGTGCCTATTTTAAATATCTAGCATTTTTTTGCATAATTAAGACTTGAGTTTCAGGATATGATGAATTTTGACTCAGGAAGGATAATTATTGGTGACATGCTTGTTACTAATCATTTCCTCTTTTTGGCCAAGCTGAGCATGTGCCAGCAACGATTTTTGTGGGGTTAAAACGTAGAAATATAGACAGTAGATAAAATTTTGCAAGTCATGTGATTCATATCCCTTCATCAATCAGTATGTAATTTTAGTTATGCTAGCTATGATGTGGTGGTGATAGGCAATTTCATGGAGCTCACTTGATCTAATAACTGAAGGTTAAAATTGCCTGTGGACACCTTGGGTCTTCCTAAGTAGTTGAAGTCCTTATTTGGGCCAAAGGGCGATAGTGATCAATATCATTTAGGAGCACATGAAATTTTGCATGGAATTGGATAGAATAACAGTCATATTGATGTCAAAATCAATGCGTGCAATTTTAACATCCACTGGGATTCATAGGAGAGTAAATTGTCATCACTTGTGAAATAGCTGATATCCTAGAACTAGAAGAGATATGACAAATCACATTATATCAGTAACTCTGCCATCGAGGCTTTAAAAAAAAAAAGAAAAGGCATGGTCTTAACATTTGAAATTGCATTTTTCCCACATAAGCTTCCTATGTTCTTTATGAAGCCCCAGTATTTCTTTCTCTAACATTCTCAGCTTTGCTTCTCTCTGCCCTATATCCTAAATTGTCATCCTTCTTGCTTGCCCAGATCCAATATAAATGCATGCATCTATAATTTGACTCATGTATGCATTCCCATGGCAATGACCAGAAATGGTAAATGTTATGAACTTGAGCCAATTGTTAAGAATTACGTATCGCTCCGATACCACTTGTTAGAAATTAAAGATGGAAAATAATAAGGCAATATGAAAAAGGAATGATCACAAGAACACAAAGATTTTACTTGGAAACCCAAGATGGGAAAAACCATGGGAAGATGCAAAGAATTCACTATATCAAAAGTAAGGATTACAATATGTCTGATCTCAACTAACCTGTTGGATAACCAAAATATGTGTTGTACACCACATATAAATAATGCTAGGAATCCCTAACGCACTAGAAATATATAATACAATGAAGAGTCTAATATAAGGTGAAATCTTAATACAATAAGTAAAAACTAATAATGAACTTAAATTCTCAAATAGACTTCAACTAGAATTTCCAAGCAGTCTTCCAAATAGAATTCGGGTCACTCCTTAATTCTAACAGAAAAGGACATTTGTTAGAAATTATCGTCATAGGATTCCCACTATCAACTTATTGCTCTTGTTTAGGTGAAGTGTGTCAATTTTTCATGTGCGTTTTCCCTGTTTTCCTTTCTTTTTGGTACATGGAGAACCCATTACACTAGAGCAATCCGATTTAGTTTCATTGATCAATTGAGATAGAGGTATGGATGGCCAGTGTACATTAACTGAAATTAGGCTCTAACGAAAATATTATGTTGGATAATGTACAGTACACACTGTACCTTGTATAAGAAACTATGATTCAGTTGCTTAAAATGATTAACTAGTGGATCGTCAGGTACATCAAGTTTGATACATTCAGTCCTGCAGCAGAACGGGGACTTCCAGTCACTAGAGTCATTAGCCGCATTACATTGCAACAAATCCTTGCTCGTGCAGTTGGAGAAGATATCATCATGAATGAAAGCAATGTGGTAGACTTCAAGGATGACGGTCAAAAGGTAGTTTTATCTGCGCAGAACTCTTCCTTCCCCCTATAAAAGAATTAAGGTAGATGTGGATTACATTCCTCTTATTTCTGTAAATATTGATTTTTCACCTTCGCACCCTGTGTTCTGCAAATTCAGGTTACTGTGATACTTGAGAGTGGACTGCGTTATGAAGGCGATCTTCTAGTTGGTGCAGATGGAATATGGTCGAAGGTATCTCTCTTTTTTCATTTTTCTCATGTGTGTTATTGTATTCTTTAATGAGAATAGGAGAATAAATAATTTATTTGCTAGTCAAACAAAAATGATGTTAATTCTGATACTTGTCCTTGTGGATGAATTGTGGTACTCTGGTTGCAGATATTTACTGAAAGATATAGCTGTCAATATCTGGCTATAAATATTTCCCTTTTCGTTTGCTGGAATATCCTGGTTAAATTTTCTTGATTGGAAATCTGTTGGTGTTAGATGAATAAGGGCAAAAGTACACGTGCAACTATGGCATTTCTAGACCATATTTTGCATTTCAATTTGGGTATCTCTAACTCTGACATTGCTGATGATGAGTTTAACATAGGTGAGGAGAAATTTGTTTGGACCAACGGAAGCTATATACTCGGGCTACACTTGTTACACTGGAATTGCGGATTTTGTTCCTGCTGATATTGAGACTGTTGGGTATGTTGTATATAATTGACATTGCATTTTGTTTTTCCCCATTATATATATACCTATCGATTTAAGCTATATATTCCAAGAAAGAGGCTCTTATTTCTATATTTCTTTTGAAGGTACCGAGTATTTTTGGGCCATAAACAATACTTTGTTTCTTCTGATGTGGGTGGAGGAAAGATGCAGTGGTATGCATTTCACAATGAACCTGCTGGTGGTGTAGATGCTCCTCGGGGTAGTTACTCTTTTAATGCTTTTCTCTTGCCGATTTAAGACTAATAGATAAAGCCAGTGTAACAGTTTCAAAGCCCTTTAAGGCATAATTCACCTAACTCTCTGGCGCTGAATCTCACATGACATTTCATTGACTGAAAAGATGACAAAATAATCTTTCCGAAACTTTTTTGCCGAAAGGAATACTGGTTTATATACGGGCATGAACATAATTTCTTTTTCTTGTTTTTTCCTGTAGAGACATTTATGCTTCTTTTTTTTTCTTTTAATTGTATTTGGACTAATAGAGTATTGTTTTTTAAGGGGCAGATCCTTTTTCTCTAAGAGTTTTTAACTGTGAATAGAAGTACAAAAGACAAATATCTATCTAGATTACATTTAATTAATTTCTGCGGCAATGTTCTGGATGATTAAGATGCATGAAATAAACTACCGTCAAAGTAGAATAACTTGCCTCAAAATTATTTATTGTATAATTTTCTTGTCCCCCCCTTCAATTTCAGGTAAAAAGGAGAGGTTGCTTAAATTATTTGAAGGTTGGTGTGATAATGTAATAGATCTCTTGCTAACCACAGATGAAGATGCAATTCTTCGACGTGACATATATGATAGGAGACCAACCTTTACTTGGGGAAAGGGTTGCGTAACCTTGCTTGGAGATTCAGTCCATGCTATGCAGCCCAACTTGGGTCAAGGGGGATGCATGGCCATTGAGGTAGACAATTTAGCTATTTTAGTTTTGCCATCTTTTTCCTTTTTGGTATTTGTCAACGATGCTTTAAATTAGACATCGTAGCTTGAATTTCTTATGCTTGCAATTGTATGTCATAGTAGTTATCTCTCCCTTTTGCTACTCTCTGTTCAAAAAATACACTACGCATTTATAATGGATAATTTTTTTATTTTTTTTTCACTTTGTTGTATTTAACTATCTTTCTATCTCTGAACTTGAAGTCATATTCAATTAGTTTTCTTCATGGTATAGGATAGCTATCAATTGGCACTGGAGCTGGACAAAGCTTGGAGGAAAAGTGTGGATTCAAGAACCCCTATCGATGTAGTCTCTTCTTTAAAGAGGTAAAACATGATTTGCTAGCTGTTATTGTTGTCTAGGGAAACTTTATAAAAGTCAACTATGGGGTTTTTTGAAGTAATAAATTATTTAAAATCTGGAGGATTTATGAACCTAAGGTTTCTTATGAAATAAACTTTACTGGACTTACAAGGCTATGAAGGCAAAAGATATATTGGAGATTGAAGTTGACAGCCATATGATATCTTTCTGCCATACCATTTCTAACACAAACCATAAGGTGGAGCTATCTCTCGGAAGTCATAAACATAGTAGAATGGTTCAGATGTAAATAGACCATGTCACGATTAATCCCATTCCAGGGTTCTCTATCTTTGGTTTTATTAATTCAGGTACGAGAGTGCTCGAAGGCTACGTGTTGCAGTCATTCATGGACTAGCAAGGATGGCTGCAATTATGGCATCAACATACAAGGCATATCTGGGTGTGGGACTTGGTCCATTATCGGTAATGATAATTGCCGATTCTTATTACAAAATTGGAATGACTTGAAATAATTTCAGTTTGGTACAGGGGTTACCTACAGTTTAATTGCAGCCTGTTGTTTGTTTATGTAGTTCTTGACAAAGTTTAGGATACCACATCCTGGAAGAGTTGGTGGGAGAGTCTTTATCGACGTTGGTATGCCTTTAATGCTAAATTGGGTTCTCGGCGGTAACGGGTGAGATTTGAGGACTCTTCTTTCACCATTATCTCTATCAGATGATATCTGCCCTCAATTGTTTTCCATTCCAAACAACAATCATGAAATAGTGATTCGCAGTTAAAAACTGCCCGATTCTCCTTGAAGTAATTACTTATTCCATAAGGAGTCCTTTCACATCTTGATATTTGGTAGAATGAATTTGAGAGGTTAGACAATTAGCTTTACTAAGTTTCATACAGAAAATCTCCATAACATTATAAGCTTTATTTTTCATGTGAATTGTATTAGTTTACCGTACATGAAGTAATGAACTATACCTTCTGCAGCTCAAATCTTGAAGGAAGATCATTGCAGTGCAGGCTCTCAGACAAAGTATGTACCTTAATAAACTAACCACACGGTCAGCATAGTCGGAAGTTAATTTTACTCTATGCTACTCAATTGGGTGAAAAAATGGTTCGTCATTTGAGTGTTGTTTTTATGTTTTCTAATTGTTGTAGGCCAATGATCAATTACGAAGATGGTTTGCAGATGATGATGCTCTGGAGCGCGCTCTTAATGCAGAGTGAGTACGGCATGTGTTAAATTTTATGTCATTGTTTTTCTCATGTTTTATAGTCTTCTACTTGCGTTCAAGAAGCTAAATTATTCACTTGTTGGTCATTTATAGCTGGTTTCTGTTTCCTATGGGAAACTCAACTGCTGCATCTGAAACAATCTTCTTAAGCAGAGACGAGAAGAAACCATGCATAATCGGGTATGCCTACAGTTTTGTTAATTGTATATTTTTATTTATTTACATGATATGAAGCCAGATATCATTAAACCATTTTCACCAAAGAGCTTGAAGTTAATTACAGCCCCAAAATTTTGCTTTATGTGTTCACAGCACGGTAACTCTAGTTTTGCTAACACCAGCACTTTTCTGATCTTAGGAGCGTGTCACATCCAAACTTTCCTGGAGTATCAATAGCTATATCGTCCCCTCAGGTGACATGGCTAATTGCATCTGTTTGCTATGTATATCTCTTGAAGTTTCTTTCCACATTTCTCTCTTAATAAAAAAGGTTCACGTTATTGCAGGTTTCTAAAATGCATGCTCGGATAAGCTACAAAGATGGAGCATTTTTTGTAACTGACTTAAGAAGCGAACATGGCACCTGGATCATTGAGTAAGCAATGAGAAGATTATACTTGCAAAAGACGGTTTTCTATTCCACTCGTTCAAATAATATGATTACGATTGTTGTCATTGGTTCATAAAGATCCTCATCTTATGGGGAATTTTTTTTATTTTATTTTATTTTATTTTTTTGCAGTAACGAGGGCAGGGGATATAGGGCGTCTCCCAACATCCCTGTTCGTTTTCATCCTTCCGATGTAATAGAATTTGGTTCTGATAAAAAGGTTAATTTTCTTTCTTTTTCCACATTTGTTGCTTGCATAAAATATGAGTGTTTATATGCATGTAACTCATTCTCTGTACATTGTGCAGGCAGCTTTCCGCGTAAAGGCAATGAAGTTTCCACCACGCAAAGACAGACAATGGAGTTCTACGGACTGTATGAAGGTGAATTAAGTTAACAGGGAATTGTACAGCAATACAGCATTTATACTCAGCAGCAAAGCTGCCACATTTTGTTGAGTGCAAGATACGAACTCAGAGGTTTATAAAAGATATAGCTAAAATTCAGCCATGAGAATGTAATTATTGATAGGGATATATGCACATAGATGTAAAGAAAGCTTGTTCGAAATATTTATCGATTGTGCTACATGTGCATAATAAGTTTACATAATAGTTTACCTACAAATGATATGGTAAAATATGGTTGGATCAGATTTCTTCAATCAAATTAAAAAAATTAAAAAAAATCTTTCTCCATTGACACTTCATCTATATGTAAACCATTAGGTAACTGTTTATGTACAAGTAGAATTATTCAATATTTATTGACCCCCCCCCCCCCCCCCCCCCCNCCCCCCCCCCCCGGCCCCTGGCATTTGTCTGTCCCTTTTTAGTTTTTACCGTTTACAAAATTTCTTTTACTGGGAGGTTGCGTCAATTTGGGTATTCCACATTATAACGAGATAAATAGTAATTTTTTTGAGAATGTGTGGTTAAAAAAGAGGGAAATTTTTTTGAGTTTACGTGTAATATTATTTTATTTACCTTTTGAATCTAGTAGTAATTGCAATTATGATGCGCATAAAATTTTAAGACGCAAGCATTTAGTTTTGGAAACGTTTTCAAAACCAAAACTCTTCGGACATGTTTCGGAAACTCAAAAATGGTTTCCTATTTTTTTATTGAAATTTGAAAATTCTATGAAAGCTTTATGGAAACTTCTAGGCAACGTTGCGTGAAAAATCAGATTTTTAGTAAATTTTAATAAAAATTGATGAAATATGTGGTTGAAAAATTGTGGATCTTATAAAATGTATTGTTAAAATTAATTGTTGATTTTGACTTGAAACTTTAATTTGATTTTAATCTACACCAAACAGGGCATTAATGTGAAGGTGTAGTCAGTAGTCACAATCCAAAATTTCCAACTTCAAAACAAACTCCCTATCCACCACACAGAATTTAACTCGGCCCATACTCAGCAAATGTTTTTCATTGAATTGCCAGACAATTAACGAACACCGACCACGCCCTTCAAGGACAGGTGAGGCCACAGTCAGGTGCGCCACCAACCCCGTGGCAGGCAGTAGACAAAAATCCATTAATGCACCACCACCATTGATTCAAGTTTTATGGCACCATTTATTGTAGAGACAGTTAAATGTGAGACTTGTTTGATGTCAAAGACTCTAGACTCTATCGACTCAAATTAATGACTTTTGTGCACTTCACAATCGTCACCGCCTGGTGATCTTCGTGAATAAATCCAAGAGTAATGTTATTCATCTCCACTGAGAATGAAAATATAGTTTATGTGGCGTTAATGTGACATTAAATTATAGGTGAAATTAAATCATTTAATGTCACATTAACGTCACGTAGACTGTGTTTTCATCCTCAGTGGGGATGAATAACATTACTCTAAATCTAATGACTATGCTCGTGTAATTAGGAATGTACGTTAAGTCCTTGTTTGTCTCTCATTTTTTCAAAACTATTTTTTTCTATATACTCATTTTCAATTACACATTCACACAATATAATACTTTACACGTAAATCCAAATTTTTTCATTGGCTAGCAAATGGCCTATAAAAGAGAAGTGACCGTTGAAGCAATTAATCACAAATTTGGTCAATCTTTGTAAAGGCATCTAATATTCCTAAAATTTAGGTCTATGTTTTTGAAGAAGTCTTCATTTGATTTGAATAGATTCTCTTTTGCCACATGAGTTTTGTTTTCTTTAATTATTACTTTGAAAATTATTCAAGTTAATCTATTTTATTCCATTCTTACAGTGTTTAAATTTGTGACAACAAATTTCGCTTCCATTGTCTAGAATATGTATTTATAGGCTCACCAAACATTCTATACACTCGACGGTCGCATAAAAAAAAAATCAAGTTTATAAATATTTAATTCGAAAATAGATTATAATTCAAATATTTAATACTAATAATGATATTATAATACTAAGGGCATGTTTGACATTCTTTAATTTAATTTATGGGTTGTTATATGATCATTTTCAATCACATATTCACACAATAAAATATTCTAAACAGATATTATAAATTTTTTCCTATTTTTTAACCATACATTCTCCTAAAAATTACTATTCAAAATTCTTTTTTCTACCAAAATGGTTGTCAAACAAGTACTAAATTAATCTATCTCACATCCCCTCCCACAACATTTCACCAAACTCCCATGTTTTATCAACTTAATTTATTATTTGTTTTAGTTTTCCATTTGTAGCGAAAAAAATATTATAAAATTTATCAACTTTAAATGAATTTATTAATTGATATTATTAACATAGAATTATTCTATTTTATTGAATAACTCAATTTATAAAATAAAATAACTTCATAAAATTTCAAACCAAATGTTTTTTCTAGTTTTTTTATTTTTTATTTTGAGAAATAGTTTTTTAGAATGACAAACCAAATGCCATTTTAATAATTTTAAAACTGACTCTCAAAACGAAAAATTTTAAAATGAACTCAAAATTTAAAATAGAAACACAAAACTAATGGACCCTTATACTTTAAAATGGACTTTAACCGTACTCGCCTTGCTCCCGTCACGGACAATGGTCCTCGTCCCTCGTATTCGATTGGTTGATGAATTCGTGTATTGGGTTTTTTGGTCATTTCTACTCCGTCCCTGGACTCGACTTTATTTTTGTCAAATCTATGTTTGAATGAGATTTTATTACATTGATAATCATAACTCCAGAAAATGTGTTGAATGCAAAACCTCTTTTTCATAGGCTTCCCTCTTAAGCAATAAGATACAAACTCTTGTAACATATGATTACGACTGGAAAAGGAGGGACCGTTTGGCTAGAATTATAATTATAACGTCAAAAAATGGGGTACAAAGGTTAGATTTACAAATGATTACTGGTCTTCAACTTATAATCCCTTTTACTGCTAAAGAATTTTACCCCTTTTTTGAAAAAGTTCCTCGTTATGTTGTAATCCAGCAAGAAAACAAAAGTACCAATGACTTTGGACTTGGATGCTTCTAGTGGCCCCCACTTCTTTACTTTCTTCTCTAAGAATTTGGAGGGTGGGTAGGGCTTGTAGCGGGAGCCAGAGCAGAATCGGTATAAAAGTTACAAACATCTAATTTTTTGCGCAGGAATCCGTTGCAAAGTAAAAAAATTTCCAAAACATTAATTTGAATATTTTCAAGTTTAAACTTGACTTGGGCAAATACATATTGAAGTTTGATTTCAAATTACAAATGCAGTCAATACTCGAAGAGTTTGTGAACATATAACTCCTCACACGGTTACACCAGCACTAACAAACTACCACATGTTTAATAATAATAATAATAATGTTCATGTTTGATATAATTTTTGAAAAGTTAAAATTACTTTTAAGATTAAGAAATTACTTTTGGCTCGTTTAGATAAATTTTTAGAATTATTTTATTGAAGTAGAATAGTTTTTAAAAGAAACTGATCTAAGATGACTTTGTTATGCCTCTTCTTGACGAGGATCCAGATCACTACCACTTGGCAACCATGGCAAGTCAACAATGTCCGCACTCCACATCACTATCCTACCTAGTCGAGATGAAGTCGTGTACAAAGTAGTGGAGGTGATGTATCACTTTCCGTCGAGGTGCCATGAGGAAGCCGACCCTCCATGGCCTTGACAAGGTGTTATGCATGTTGCAGGGAAGAAATCCAAGGCAATTAGCCTCTTCCTTGAGGGAAGCATCTCATACCTCACCTCTTTCAAAAGATTTTTGTACAAGATCTTCATACGATTAATTGATGTGACATATCTGCAGTAAGAACTTAAAATGTTAAATTGTTAGTCTACTTTTCAGAGGTTAGACCTAGACTCTAAGGTGATCATTTTTCAGAAAATATTATATGCCAATCAACCTATGATTGACGGATTGATGCCTAGAATGAGAAACATCGGCCATCAAGATAAGATAATGTGTATCTTGATCCGATGGTCAATATTTCACATTTTCTACTATAAAAATCCACACTTAGTATCATTTGAAGGTAATATAACTTTGTCCACCCAAATTATAAACTTGCTTTCATTACTCTCTATTCGGCCTTTTATATTCGACCCCTCTACACTTAATGACTCACGTCTTTAGTATGTCTCATACTCAGAACACTTATTGATTGACTTAATTGTAGGAGTGTCCGCGGTCGCCTCTTTCACTATTGAAAAATGTCATATATGATTTACGATTTATCCAAATGTGCAAGAACTAAACTTACTTTAGATATGAGAGGAGTCATGATCTGTTTGTCACGTTATCCGTACAAAAATTGAGATCAACAGATTTCATCAAAAATTTCTTCTATAAGAAGTCGAAGTTATTCCAAACATACAGTAAACATAGAAGTGAATATGTGGGGTGGGGGGGAATTTGCTTTCACATTCAAAGATTAAAATCATGAAAACAAAAATGAGCACCTCGTTGTTTTGTCTCTCAAAAGCTAAACGGGAAGACGTTTAGGGTGTCAGGTATCGTCCTTTTATCCATCTGGATAGAAATTTGGATGCCCAAATCAAATATTTCTTGTCCCTTTACAAATTCCCAAGCAAAAACACCATCAACGTCTCTTTCTCATTTATGATTTATCTCAACTCATATGTATGTCTGTCTGTCTGTCTGTCTGTCTTCTTAAAAGAGGAGATATTTCCATCCATTTTCCTTTTTCTTTCGTTTCTGCCTAATAAAATCAGTTCACCCCATTAAATTCAACATAAAAGATAAGCCTTTTAGAGGGATAGTAGATTTTCATATCTTACTTTATAATTATATAAATGTGAAGTTATAACTTAGCCGAGTAAGGTCCTCAAGGATCAGACACTCAAACAAAGAATCCATGCAGCCATATCGAGCTCCCTCAATGTAGGGCCAAGTACTCGAAATTTTTTGTTGGAAGTACGAAAATAT